CTGAAGACCAGCAACCCAGGAGGACCCCAGTCTCAGGGCAACGTGTTGCCTGTCATCCATGACAGTGTCTCAGCGTAACCCCGACCGATGCACTGGGCCATTTCAGAATCGGCTATGTCTCTGTGTCACGTTGTTGGTCACGTTGTGTGGATTTCCTCTCCGCGAACCAGATGGATTATCATTTACACATTTAAATACATAAATAGGAATTCCTGAGGCTTGGTGCGAAACGAGTTTCACGACCGGAGTGCAATTGGGAGCTGGAAGCTTTCAGAGGTGTTACACCATGGTTCCAAACTGCTAAAGATCACCGTTAACTGTTTCAACATCTCGACAGGGCGGCTCCTATTTCCCATGATCTTCCGGAAGCCTGAAAGCCACAAGAGCCCAGTGTTGTGCCTATGCTTTGTGCCCAGAGGTGGGTTCTGAGCAGCGACCCCTGCCCCCTTACATGCCCCCACCCCCCCAAACCACGGTGTTCCCCCTAAGTGTCCACGCTGGCCTTTATGAACATGACATCGTTGGTGACATAACTGTGCCAGTTGGCGTGGAGCTGGGCAAGGGGCAGGAACTCGGGGCAGCCACTGGCAACGTTCATGGCCTGGACGGGCCTATGGAAGGAGGCAGAGCCGATGTCTGGTTTGAAGGCTGTCACTGTATGCTGGCGCCTGGCGCTCTGATCCAGCAGTCGGAAGGTGACCTGGAGCCAAGGGAGAAAGGACGGTTTTACTTCTCTTGTTCTCACTCACACACACACACACTTCCTCTCTCTCTCTCGCGTGTACCCACATAGTTTCTCTTTGTGGACCTTTTAGAGAATTTCCAATCAACCTGTTCAGAGATGTTATTGTGCTCCTCTGGGGCAGGTGGGACTTGAACTTGGGCCTCCTGTCTCAGAGGTAGGGGCACTACCACTGCAGCTCAAGAGGCTTTAAGGGGTTCCTTTTGTTCTCCATCCCTCACTCCAGTCCCCGTCAGGGCCGCACTCCCATCATCCCTCACTCCATCAGCGTACCCCCACCCCGCCGTACGGTTTGCATTCCCATCGCTGCGTTACAATGACCCCCGTTAGGTTTCCACTCCCATCATCCCTCACTGCGTTACTGTCACCCCCATCAGATCCGCATTCCCATGATCCATCACTCTGTCACAGCGCCACCTCTGCCCCCACCCGCCCAACCTGTCCTGTTAGGGCTGCACTCCCGTCATTCCTCACTCCATCACAATGACCCCCATCATCCCTCACTCCCGTCATCCCTCACTCCGTCACAGTGACGCCCGTCATCCCTCACTCCCGTCATCCCCCGCTCCATCACAGTGACCCCCGTCATCCCTCGCTCCATCACAGTGACCCCCATCATCCCTCACTCCC